TTGAACACCATTGGCATTGACAAATTCGCCATTAGTCAATTGCAAAAGGCGGCCTTACTAGGAACTGCTTCCATCCTGCGACGATATCTGTAATACCATCAAACATCCACATCTGCCTATCCCAGGTCCTTGGTAAGGACTCGATAGGTAGACAAAAATGCCAAATCCAGTCTGAACATCTGGCTGACTGTGCGATGATTGATGATGATGATGATGATATTAATAATAATAATAATAATAATAATAATAATAATAATAATAATAATAATAATAATAATAATAATAATAATGTTGGAAGGGACCTTGGAGGCCATCTAGTCCAACCTCCTGCTCAGGCAGAAAACGCTATACCTTATCTGCAAGTATACACAATAGCAGTTATTTCCCCCATATAGAAATCAATAAAAGGTCTTATGTTTGTTTCGTCTCAGTTTGTGAAATTATATCTTGGCTCCATCCTTTTTTTTACTATTAAGAGTTGAAAGTTTTTGAAGATCAAGCTTTATCTGCCTCATATTAAAAGAAAAGAAAATCATCACATGTTGCAGTGCACATACGTTTTTGTGTGTGATTGCCTGCATGTTCCTAAATTGCATCTGGCTCAAACATAGGAATCAACCATTTTTATTAACAGACCTTGATTATTTGCCTAGAAACAATGCATAATCATCCCACGTGACTAGAGAAGGCTTACCGTGTTTCGTGATGTGTTCCCAAACATTTGACACAGCAGTAGCGGGCGCCGCAAGAAACACATGTGTAATTTGACGGGAAGCCACAAACTGTGCAGAAATGACGTTGCGGCAAATTGGAAGGGGGCGCACACGCTGTCAGGTAATTGGGCCCTTCACTTGTGTTGAGGTTCTGCTGGAAGTCAAAGAAAGAAATTCAGTGGTTTGGATCTTACTCCAAGGATAGAGGACAATCTAACAGAATAACAGAGTTGGAAGGGACCTTGAAGGTCTTCTAGTCCAACCCCCTGCTCAGGCAGGAAACCCTACACCATTTCAGACTGAGGCTAATCTTTCCGTTGGTTAATTGTTCTGTCAGGAAATTTCTCCTCAGTTCTAGGTTGCTTCTCTCCTTGATTAGTTTCCATCCATTGCTTCTTGTCCTGCCTTCAGGTGCTTTGGAGAATAGATTGAACCCCCCCCCCCTTCTTTGTGGCAGCCCCTTACATATTGCAACACTATTATGTCACCCCTAATACTTTTAATTAAACTAGACATACCCAGTTCCTGCAACTGTTCTTCATGTGTTTTAGCCTCTAGTTCCCCTAATCACCGTTGTTGCTCTTCTCTGCACTCTTTCTAGAGTCTCAACATCTTTTTCATATCATGGTAACCAAAACTGGACACAATTTTCCAAGTGTGCTCTTACCAAGATCTGAGATAGACTTACTTCACCATTCAAACCAAAAGTGATTCGTCTATCTCTTAGATCAGTGTTTGTCCACCTTAGCAACTTTAAAATGTGGGGACTTCAATTCCCAGAATGCCCCGGCCAGCATGCTTTACATCGAAGTGGCTCTTTTTCAATCTTCCTCACTTGAAATGATACCAAGAAAACGAAACCAGCACAATACAGGTAGTTCTCAACTTATATCGTAAGTCGTGATGGTCGTAAAGGAGATCCAATCCAATTTTATGACTTTTTGGGGTGGTTTTTAAGCGACTGTCGTGGATGTAAAGCAAACACCATGGTTGTTAAGCTAACCTACTGCTCGCTATGAGGTGCTTTTGCGGGAAACTGAAAATGTCGGTTTTCGGCCACAATGCTATAAGTCAGGGTTCCCCAACCCCCAGTCCGTGGAGCGGCACTGAGCTGCGGCATGCCAGAAACCGGACAGCGCAAACAAGCGAAGCCTCATCCGCGGAATGCAGGCAGCATGCGAAACTAGGCCCCGTCTAGTCCACGGAAAAACCTCTCTCCACGGAATCGGTCCCTGGTGCCCAAAAGGTTGGGGGGAGCGCTGCCATAAATCATAGGTGACTGCAGGGCGAAGCAGACATAAATATGGGCTGGTTGCCAAGTGTATAAAATGTGGTCACATGACCTTCAGGGGATGGAGTCATAGGAATTTGGAACCAGGTCATAAGCACCTTTTGGGGTGTCTTAACTTTGAAAGGTTGCTAAGTGATTAGTTGTAAGTCAAGGACCTGTGTAGCTAACCGATGAACAACAGACCACAAGGGCACTTTTTTATATATATAAGAGACACTTTCTTCCACTCTACAGATCAACGGATCTTTTATCTGCATGATACATGAGCTCCTAAAATTCTATTATCAAGATTATCCTAAGTCTAAGACGTCTTGGTTTTCCCAGTTGCAATGTATGGATGTGAAAGTTGGACCATAAGAAAGGCTGAGCGACAAAGAATTGAGGCCTTTGAACTATGGTGCTGGAGAAGACTCCTGCGAGTCCCCTGGACTGCAAGGCGATCAAACCGGTCAGTCTTAGAGGAGATCAACCCCGACTGCTCTTTAGAAGCCCAGATCCTGAAGTTGAAACTCAAATACTTTGGCCACCTAATGAGAAGGAAGGACTCACTGGAGAAGAGCCTAATGCTGGGAAAGATTGAGGGCAAATAGAAGAAGTGGACGACAGAGAATGAGGTGGATGGATAGAGTCACTGAAGCAGTAGGCGTGAACTTAAATGGACTCCAGAAGATGGTAGAGGACAGGAAGACCTGGAGGAACGTTGTCCATGGGGTCGCGATGGGTCGGACACGACTTCGCAATTAACAACAACAAGACGTCTTTCCTTAACGGATTAGAAGGGCAGAGACAGGAACACTCCCAGTGTGCCTGTGATTGTGGCCAACACTTCCTTCCAAGTGTTGGCCACAACATCCATCCAAATAATTCAGTTCTGTTCCAGCCTGCATACCACTGAGCAAAACACAATCTTTTGCAGTGTGTTTTGCAACCTGGGTTTCAGAAGTTAGCTTTTCCAATGTCCTTTTAAAATCTTCGTTATTTTAACGTGTTCTTGGTGGCGGGCGGGTGGGTGGGAGAAATTGGAACTGGCAAATCGATCGTTAAATGAAATGATCTCTAAGTGAAACCACAACCATGCTTATGATCTGACTTCAGCTTTCCTTTTCTTTACAAAGGTGGCAAATGCGAGGATTAGTCGAAAAGTTATTTTTTTCATTAGCATCTTAAGTTTGAAAAGCCAGCTTGGTGCGGTGGTTAAGGTATTTATGGTAGAAACTAGGAGACTGTGAGTTCTAATGCCGCCTTAGGCACAAAACCAGCGGGGTGACCTTGTGCCTGTCACCGTCTCTCAGCCCTAGAAAGGAGGCAATGGCAAACCACTTCCAAAAAATCTTGCCAGGAAAACGGCACAGACTTGTCCACTCTGTCATCAGGAGTTTAAAAAACAAACAAACCCTGACTTGAAGGCACACATATGTACTTAACTTTGTACAATTGCTAAACGAGGACTATCTGTACCAAAATAAGCATCATTATAATAATAAGAAAAATTAAGAGTTGATACCGCCCCCCCCTATTTTTTGTTAAGAAAAAAAAAGAGAGAGAGCAAGACCTGTTCTTCTAACAATGCCTGGAAATTTTTACGGAAACGCAGCTTGAAATGATCTCCGCGGGTTTTTTTCTTCTTTTTACCTGCAAATAAAAGACAAAGAAAGGAAAACACAAATTATAGATGAGGGCAAATGCCTTTTAGCCTCAGTAGACATTGTGGCATCGAACACAACAATAAAGAAAGGTTATGAAGTTTGGGATTTTGTTAATTTAAGACAGGGGGTGTCCTACTTTTCTAGGCAAATGTTGAGTTTTGTGGAAGCTGTCACAAAATGGCAATCCTGGGGTGTGTGTGGTCAGGAAGCAAACTTCCAATTTGCAGAAGAGTGAAAAGAGGTTTCCTTATTAAATTGAGACAGTCAGGGTTCTCAGTGACCAATTAAGTATTAGCTCTTTGCTTCCAAAAAAGAGATCTCTATTCCCCCCCCCCCAAAAAAACCAACCTGGCAATGCCTAGAAAACTCCAAAAACACACAAAACCCCTATTCGCAAATCTAGATGCGAAATATATTCTCACCACGTACAAACCAAGGAATGTACTTATGGAGGGATGTTCAGAGGAGAGAAAAACAGTCAAAATAGGTAAAAAGAGATGGTGCTTTAATGACATGTTTGTAGCCACCATCTTGACTTGTCCCCCCTCTTTGGGGAACACATCTCTACTTGTGTGCGTAAGCATATATTTATGTATATACATGTGTATGTATTTGCAGACACATGCAGACACATATATGTATGCAGGTGCTCACACAAACAAACCAGGCTAAATAAGTCAAACAAATCAAATCAGGTTATCTATTAGCTAAGAAAGAAAAGGAAGTCAAGGAAAATTAAGAGAGAGTGAAATCAAAGGAAAGTGAAATCAAATGAGAATGAAATCAGGGGAAAGTGAAATTGTGTGACAGTGAAATCAAAGAAAAGTATTTCCTGCCAAGCAGGAAAACTCACCTGTTTCAGCATCATCATCAAACTGAGGCAAGCGCTTCACCAGCTGTGGCATGTTGGCATGGGGGTCATCCTGGAAATTGTCATTCTCCAGGGCCTCTAATTGGCGGTTGAGACGGCGTTGGCGGGTGGCCCGGTCTAAAATACGCCTCTGGCTGGGGTCCTGGGACCTTGCTGAGAAAGAAGAAAGAGGACTGAAGCCAAGCCAGATTGAGTCAACCACGTTGCCTTCAAGGAGGTCAGCTGGCATCTGCCAATGGGGCAGTGTTCGCAGCTGGCAAAGGGCACTTCCAATCTCCTGATGCACATGCCCCAATTACCTTAAGCCAAGGGTAAGCAATTAATTTTCCTGAGGGATCACATGAGAAGCTAGCAGTCTTGTGGAGAGCCAAACCAATAGAGCCATACAATTGTTTACATTTGATTTCTAATTTCTGATTTACCTCATGTGGGCCAAATAGGGAGAGCCAAAGGGCCGATGTGATCCGGGAGCCATAAAATGCCCAGGTCTGCCTTAAGACCGCATGCACCCCCCTTGAAACACCTGAGATCATCCTGCCAACATATGGCAGCAAAATGGCTGAACTACATCAATTTTCCTGCCTGTTTTTCATGTTTGGCAACAGCATTAAGGATGAGCACTCCTGTTCCTACCTCAACCCTTAACCCCCCCAATAACCTCACCCAACGGCCAATAAACAACCCAAGATCTGTTGTGCGCCTCTCAACAATACCACAATGTGATTTTAATTTTGGCTTAGTGCGCTGTGTGAACCCACAGTTACTACCCAGCATGGTTAAGAACATGAAATATTCATTTCTTTAGCTGGTCCATGTATTTCTTAGACGTCATGAGCATATATTTCCTATGGTTTGCAAGGCCCAGTTTATTACTCCTTAGGGCACTTCATAAACCCAGTCGTGCCTTCTGCACCCTTTATAAACTATCTGTAAATGTGGATGACTCATTCTTTTATGTAAATATAAAACAAGCCATGAATGTGTGCATTCATTGACGAGAGGTCTTTGGTGCTCTCTGAGCTTGGTTGTTTTCTTGCAGACAGTTCGTTATCCAAACTAGATAACATCATCAGTCATGAAACCCCTGCAAGAACACAACCAAACTCAGACAGCACCAAAGACCCCTCATTTTAATCCTGAGCTACAAATATTCTCCTTTAATTCCATGATATTTCCTTATATATACCTAACGGTTGGATATGTTGTCCAAATGCTCCCTCCAGTGGCAGGACAGAGCATCTGAAGATGATTTTCAGGTCCATGAGCTTATTCTTCCTCTTACAGGTAGCTGCTGTGATGCACTAAAGGTATATAGGTAGTCCTCGACTTACGTCAACAACTGAGCCCAACTGAGAGAGACATTTGTTAAGTGAGTTTTGTCCCATTTTACTACATTTTCTCCCAGGAACCATCTAATGGCACATCCCTTCCCAGACCAGGCAGAGTGGCAATGCATTTGGGATCCAGCATCCCCAAACTGGTCTTCAAATCTCAACCTAGTCATCTACATCAAGTAGATCTTAGCCTTGTACGAAATACGAGGAAGGGAAATGTTGGCGGGTATTAAAATACAGGTAGTCTTTGATTTATGACCACAGCTGAGCCCAGAATTTATGTTGCTAAGTGAGACATTAATTAAATGAGTTTTGCCTCATTTTACGACCTTTCTTGCCACAGATGTTAAGTGAATCACTGAGTTGATAAGTTAGTAACCAGGTTGTTAAGTGAATCTGGCTTCCTCCATTGACTTTCCTTGTCAGGAGGTCGCAAAAGAGGATCACACAACCTTGGAACACAGCGACGGTCCTAAGTATGAACCAACTGCCACGCATCTGAATTTTGATCCCCTGATCATGGGGCTGCCTCAAAGGTCCTCACCGTGAAAAACGGTTCTGAAGTCGCTATTTTTCAGTACGGTTCTATTTATTTATTTATTTATTTATTATTTAAATTTATATACCGCCCTATCTCCCTTACGGGACTCAGGGCGGTGAACAGGCAATAATAAAAATCACAGTAAATAATTACATAAAAGCCTGCTCTAAAATATAAAACCCCTTTGAACGGTCACTAAACGAACTGCTGTAACTCGAGGACTACCTGCATTCTTTATTTTCCTCTGCAACATAAAAAATAAAATTGTCCCGGTGACCCTTTGCATCTATCAACAAGCCCCCCTTTTCCCCAGTCCAAAATACCTGAAATTTTCTTTTCCACCATTCTGCGAGCCAGATAAGGAGACGCAGCGCCCCCGTCGAGTTTTCCCGATATTTCTGATATAAACTCGCCTTGTTTCTCTCCACTCCGGCTTTCCAAGCTGCAAAAACCTTTGTACTGCAGAGGTGTCAAGGCGCTGAGCAAAACTAGTCAGGCTTTAGCGCTCTCAATATACAGTATTTATTTATTGTACGTCTAAGGACGCACCATCCATCTGCAACCTGCAAACGAGCGCCATGTTATTAGAGGCATGCGGACTTCCGCCTGCGCTACCAGGACACGCCCACTAAGAAACGTCATGACGGCTTTCCTCGCTGAGAATGTTTGTTAGCAGAGGCAGAAAAATTTTGCTCCCCTGGGTCCTAGACTCCGCTGAGTTCGAAATAAGTTCTATTAATTTAAGCCAGGGGTCTCTGAACTCGGCAACTTGAAGACTTTTTGACTTCAACTCCCAGAATTCCTAGCTGAGGAATTCTGGGAATTGAAGTCCACAAAATTGCTGAGTTTGGGGACCCCTGATTTAGGCGACAGCGGGGAACAGAATTTCATTTCAACCAATGTTTCTCAGACTCGGCCACTTTAAGAAAGCTGGACTTCAACATGTTCAGCAGGCTGGCTGAGGAATTCTGGGAGTTGAAGTCCACCCTTCTTAAAGCTTCCAAAGTTGAGAAATGCTTGTTTAAAAGTCCCAAAGGTGCTTTTTCATGAGGCAACTGGACTTTCTTTGTTTAAAAGGCTTCCCATTCAGCCTCTGCAATTGCTTCCAGCATTTAGAGTTGCGGTGCTAATGCAAATTCTATAGGAACCATTCTTCCGAGCATGTGCAGAGTGCATTACACATAAACCTGGACACCAGACATACAGAAGAGTGGGAGAAAAAATTGGAAAGAATTATCCCCATGAAAGATAGTTCTGAATTTGGGTAATTATATTATTTATATTAATGCAAAGTTGGATATTATGATGATGATTACTATTATTGTTATTCTGTATTCTGCATCTATTTTTTGATCAGACTACAGTAGCATTTCTTTAAAACTTGGACCTATTTCATCCCAAATAATGTTGAACCATTATTCTTGAAAATAATGAAACCAAGGAGAGAAGCAACCTAAAAATAAGGGGAAACTTCCTAACAGAACAGTTAACCTGTGGAACAAATTGCCTTCAGAAATTGTGGGTGCCCTAACACTGGAGGCCTTTAAGAAGAGACTGGACAGCCATCTATCAGAAATAGTACAGGTCTCCTGAGAGAGCAGGGGGTTGGACTAGATAACCTCCAAGCTCCCTTTCAGCTTTATTACTGTTACTGTTATTTGCCTTTTCCTTCTACGTCAGATTACCAAGATCGCAGAGTTACTGTGTTTACCAACTCAACAACTGATTACAGGAAAAATAACAACTGTTTCGCAAACAAAGCACCAATTTCTTGCAATCTTTTATCTCATCATGAAAAAAATAATCATGGTAAATATTTGGATTTTCGGCCAGGGACAGGTCGTCCTAGATTGATGGGATTTCCTGTCAAAGAAGCAATCCGAGAATCAGCATCCTACGTTCCTAATATTTACCAGCCGAGAAGGGAAAAGTGGAGTTTAACAATGTCTTTCATTTGAACCATCGGTCTTTCCATTTTTTTTCTTTTTTCATTTTCCATACGAAGGGTTTTGCTTTTGCACATCCGGCAAACTCGCACACCTTTTTTTCTACCCAAATAACTAACTAGCCTGATCTCTTTTAGATTTTTTTTTTTTTGCCTTGCGGCTAACTAAAGGATCAAATTTGCATTTGAGCTGAGGGTTTTTTTAGTCCTTCTTCATCTTCATTTAGTCCTTCCAATATCTCAGGGGCTGCCCCAAAGAAGAGGGAGTCAAGCTATTTTCCAAAGCGCCGGAAGGCAGGACAAGAAGCAACGGATGGAAACTGATCAAGGAGAGAAGCAACCTAGAACTAAGGAGAAACTTCCTGACAGTTAGAACAATTAACCAGTGGAACAACCTGCCTCCAGAAGCGGTGAATGCTCCAACACTGGAAGTTTTTAAGAAGAGACTGGACAGCCATTTGTCCGAAATGGTATAGGGTTACCTGCCTGAGCAGGGGGTTGGACTTGATGACCTCCAAGGCCCCTTCCAACTTTATTATTATTATTATTATTATTATTATTATTATTATTATTATTATTATTATTACTACTACTACTACTACTACTACTACTACTACTACTACTACTACTACTATTATTATTATTATTATTATTATTATTATTATTATTATTATTATTATTATCATCTTCTGGCATTAAAGGATGTTAAGAAGCGACTCCTTATCCTCCCGGGGCTGGGGATCGAGCCGCCGTGCGTGGAAATGCCCTGTAACCCTATCCCCACGACCAAAAAAAAAAAAAAAAAACAACCCCAAACCCCGCAACACGTGTCTTTTCTAGCTCCTTTCCCTTTCTTTCTTTTTTGCCCCTCCCGCCCCTTTCCTCGGCTCTCTCGAACTTTCCAGACTCTTCATTGGCTTGCCGAAGGGGAGGGGGAAAGCTTCCATCCTGTTCCGATTGGCCAAACCCTCTCGCGGATTGCGATTGGTGGGTGCCCGGTCGTCGAATTCCCATTGAGAAAAAAAAAAAGAGAGAGAGAGAGAGAGAGGCGTAAATCAAGAATGGAATGCGCGCGGGGGAAGGGAGGACTTTCCCTGTTTGGAACGTTTCCCTTTTGATCTCATCGCGCGGGCGGCAGAATAGAGATTCGCACGTATCTGGGGAAGGCAGCTAGGATACCCCCCACCCGTTCCACGCAGGGCTGACCCTACCCCTTAGAGGAGGTTCCCCCCCCAGCGATTGGCTTGCGATCGGGAGGAGCTTGAGATCCCTCCAAGCTCCGCCGCTCGCGAGAGCGAACCAAACCCGGGCGGTCCCCCCCCCCCCAGTCGCTTTCCCCTCCGCTCGGCGCTCGCTCGGCTGCGCTCATGGAGCTGCGAGCAATCCCGACCCTGCGGCGGCGGGACCGCGACCGGCGGAACCACTACCCGCGGAGACGCCCGTCGCTTTCGGTCGCCCTTTCGCACCTAGGACCATCCTCCCCGCGTCGCGGCTCCTAGCTCGTCCCCCCGCGTTCGAACCCCTCCCCCCCCTCGTCGACCGAGACGACTCGCTCTTTTCTCCTTCCTCTCCCCAACGCACGTGCCCCTAGGGAACGCGTTGGAGCCGGGGAATCGCTGCGTAGCCGCTAGGAACTCGCGTTTTAAAGAGCCCGTTCAGACGAGCCACCGTTTTGCCTCTCTGATTGCAGAAAAATCGGTTTCACTTCTAGGACGGTCCCACAGCCTAGCGCTCCCTGCTGCGGACCGAGGAGAGAACGCAAAAGCCGTCTCCGAGTTCCTATCGGTGCCACTTTATCTCTTGTTTAACTTTAAAAAGCAAAAGCAGAGATGGGGGGTGTGGGGGGGCAGGGAAGGACAGTTGATAAGATCTCCCTACTGGGAAAAAGATCACTGATCCCGGAGTTTTCTAAATATACAGGTGGTCCTCAATGTACGATGGCGATGAAGCTCAACGTTTATGTTGCTGAGTGAGAAATTTGTTAAGTGAGTTTTGCCCCGTTTTACGACCTTTCCTGCCACGTTTGTTAAGGGAATCGCTGCACTTAAAAGTTAGTAACGTGGTTGTTAAGTGAATCTGGTTTCCCCATTGCTTGTCGAAAGGTCCCAAAAGGGGATCAGGTGACCCCAGGACTTGCGACCGTCATAAATGTGAATCAGTTGTCAAATGTCTGAATTTTGATCACGTTACCATGGAGATGCTGCAACAGTCATAAGTGTGAAAAACAATCGTAAGTCACTTTATTCAGTACTGTTGTCACTTCAAATGGTCACTAAACGAACCGTTGTAAGTTGAGGACTACCTGTATTGGTTTCTCATTCCCAAAATCCTCCCTAATATTCTGGCTGGGGGAATTCTGGGAATTAAAGGGCCAATCTGTCTGGAGGGGACCAGGTTGCCTCTGTCTGGAGCCTACACATGAATTGGTCACTCTATAATAGGCATGTCAAATCCGCAACGTCGCGTGACGTATCGCAACTTTTTCCCCATTGCCGGCAATGGGGTGGGCGCGGTTTCAGTATGATGCATCCGGCCCGCGGGCCAGCAGTTTGACATGCCTGCTCTAGAAAGCTCTTTTGACAAGGCTAGACAATTTGGCCAGCATAAGACATGCAGTCCTTGACTTACAACAGTTCATTTAGCGACCGTTCAAAGTTACGATGGCGCTGAAACAAGAGACTTACAACCGTTTTTCACCGTTACGATCTTTGCAGCATCCCTGTGATCGTGTGATCAAAATTCAGATGCTGCTTGGCATCTGGTTCATATTTATGACACAGTTTCCGTGTCCCCGGGTCATGTGATCCCCTTCTGCGATCTTCTGACAAGCAAAGTCAATGGAGGAAGCCAGAGTCACTTCACAATTTCACTTGTGACTAACTTATCAACTGCAATGATTCACTTAACAACTGTGGCAAGAAAGGTCATCAAATGGGGCAAAGCTCACTTAAACGTCTCACTTAGCAACAGAAAATTTGGGCTCAGTTGTGGTCTTAAGTTGAGGACTACTTTTAGTGGGCTGATTCAGAAACCAGGTTAAGCCTGTTAGGTAAACGTAGCCAAACTGGACGTGTTTGAGTTGGCAGAGAGGAAAGAGAACATCCAGAGGTGCATTTGTGGTTGTTGAAAGAAAAGTAAGTCTTCATCCTGGTTCATCCAAGCCGGGGATAAATAAACAACATGGCGACTGCTTTGGGAAGATGGTTGCAGTTTATTGAAGAGCCAGACTGAAAGATGGTTCTGGCAGGACGGAGGAGAGAAATCAAGGGCTGAGCACATGTGGAGTAGGTTTTTATACCCTCTGAAAGCCTTTTGTGTGGAATAGTTTCCTGTTCCTGTGGCATGAACTTTGAACTGAGTCTAAGTGTGCTTTTCTGGACCTTGGTATCTGTGGTTTAATCCTATTATGTCCCCAAAGTCATATCCTGCTTCCCTGGGGCTGGGCTAATGCCTCTTAAGAGTTTGGGTGAGGTATGCAGATTTTTTTAGGTCTTTGTCTTCTTGAGTTTCTGACTCCAACTTTCCTGATGGTTTTACATCTGCATTTGTATAGGGCTGGCTCCTGCTTGGGGCAGAGAGACTTGGGGGCAGGGTTGGCTTCTGCTTTTAAAAACCCTTTTAATGTTTCCTTCTCTGGGGAGCTGACTTCCCTCATG